AACTATGTTTGTTTTTGTCATGCGTATTTTGAACAGTATTCCCCGAAACTGTGTAATATTTAATACGTTTATCGGTCATGTGACTTTTTCTGCTAGATTTTTTGTAAATATTGTTTTGCATCTCATTTGCATAATTTTAGTCTTAACAACATTACATGAGGTTATTGTTAAGAGTTTCACTTATACTACCCCCACCCTGCGACTAGCGGTTTATGAGAAGAATTTTGAATATATTTCTCATTTTAAAATGTTTGTAATGTATTATGGGAAAGGGGCACGGCTCATAACACATACCGAATTGACATCGTTTTAATATGTTGAATTCTGTTACATATACAAGCATGTAACTAACGCTATATTGAAGGCGTTGGACAAAAGCAATAGCCTGTATATATATGGATATATATATATATATATATATATATATATATATATATATATATATATATATATATATATATGAATATATGGCCGATAAAATAAAGTATACATCTGATTTGCTCAGCATATAAGATCACCATATATGGTAATGAACCTCGTTAAATGATAAATGCTAGGATAAATACATAAATATATTTTTTCGCTGTTGATTTATTATAGACTTGATTTCCCTCGTTTGACATTTACGTGTTTGTTTATACTCACTGCTAACATATCTCCTCACTAGACGTTGATGAATGTGAAACTGGTACTGATGAATGTGAACATAATTGCATTAACACTGATGGAAGTTTTTACTGTACATGCAATGGTAACTACATCCTGGATGCCAATGCCAAAACGTGCTCTGGTAATAAATGACATCACGAATATCTTTATTTTTACAAACACAACTACTCATGGGTGGCACGATTTATCAATAAGATACGAGATCATTTGAGACCTTTTACTATCCAAATTAAAAAAAAACAAATTTCGTTGACTCGGCGCTCACACATTTCTGGATATATTCACACTACCTGTCTTATAATACACATAACAAGTGCGAACATTTGCGGACTCCTAATTACCAATTGAACTGCATACATGGCTAATGCAGAAAATATTATAAAAAAAAGTTCTCT